TTTCTTTCGTTTTATTCCCAAATAAATATTTCTTCAACTTGCATTTGCTAACTTTATTATTGCCTTTTCTGTCCGACTAGTTGGGTGATACTAAAACACGGGTCAATAGCCCATTCGGCTTCGCCTCATGGGCTATTGACCTGTAGCCCTTGCGGGCTACTGGTCTATTTGTTAAATATAACTAATTTTAATAGCAGCTCAGATTCACTTTTAAAGCATACAGACAACTGCACAATCATAAAACTGAATTCAAAGTGTCTTAGCTACTAATGTGCAGTGGACTATAATGTGGAGAATTATTATTAATATTATTGTCAAAATAATTACATACAGTACAATGCACGTATGTGTATGATCTATATAAATTCAATAATTCTTTGTCTGGCAGTGTCAATGAACTATTAAAGATCAAAGATGACTTGACGAAGGAAAGAGATGAAAAGCTGTCTGACATTGCTAAGGTAGGTTTTTTTCTCTCATTCCAAACTTATTATGTGTGGTTTTTATTTTTAGTTCCTTTTTTCAAATTTATGTGATTTTGACCGTGGGTCTTTGAAATTTGTTTCAGTTGAGAGATGAACTGTCCAGTGCAACTATGAAACAACAGAAAGCTGAGCAGGACAGAGAAGAGGCAGAAATGAAGATTGCAGAGGTAAAATGGAGCTTCAGTTTTTATTATTCAGCTCTTAAGATTGTACAATTGTACAATTTTATTTATTTGTGTGCATGTCACATAATTACTATAGCTGGACTTAATTTGTTTTCTATGTACTTCAGCTTAAAGAAGATATTCAAGTCCGTAGTAATGAGGCCCAGCGAGAGGCCAGGAAAAAGGAAAAAATTGAAAAGGAGTTAAAACAAGCCAAGAATGACTTGGAAACCAGAACTGCTGAACTTAAAACAAAAGCAGGAAATCTTCAACGGGCCCAGGAGGACATCACAAAGCTTGAGCAGCAGCTCAAAGAACAAAGGGTAGGTTTGTTTAGAGAAATAATAATATACAGTGATGGTGATGATAAAATGAATGATTCTTTCAAATTTCCCAAGTGCTGGCAAATGCATGTCTTACTAATAAACTTTGAGAAAAATTAGCTTCAAGAAAGATCTTTTGGCATTTCCTCCATATTTTTTCATGTTCACAGTGGAATCCCGATTTCTCAAACCCTCAGTTTTTTGAACCTCCCAATAACTCAAACCAAAAGTCATTTCCCCTCCTCAGTCGAATACTGTAATTTTACCCCCAATTTCTCAAAGTCTCCAATTTTTCGAACCAATTTTCGTTTACCTTGGAGGTTCGTAAAATCGGGATTCCACTGTATATTATTAACAAATAATTATACGGTTTTTCTGATTCAATTTGGAATTAATTTGCCCTTGTGAGTTTTTCAAAAAGCTGAAATTGCACTTGCCAAAGCGGCTCATGCAATTTCAGCTTTTTGAAAAACTTACTCATGCAAATTAATTCCAAATTGAACTCAAAACTGTATGATTACCTATACAAATAGAACATTACATGGCCACTTGGGGATACAAAATTACTCTTCTTGTGTTGAAAAATAACTTATTTCACTTGTTTGCTGCACTCACTCGTGAAACATTTCTCGACTCTCAAAGAGAAATTTTGTATCTCTGCACAGCCATGTAATATCCCTCAGTACGTTCCTAGCCAAGCTTCTCTCGCTTGCAGAGCTATGTGCACACATGTTCTTGCTGATGATTATTTAATTGTGTATATGTAAGTAGTAACTAAGATGATTTGTACAGTTAGCCTGGATTATGGCATAGTTTTTTAAAAGTGGAATTGCACTAGTTAGTTGGCGAATCCAGAGGGATTTCTGGCTCTTATTTCTTCCCCCAAATCCATCTTGGTTCACAACTTATGCACCAGTTGGCATAATTTCTTTCTTGGGAGTCTAATGGCACAAAAGATAAGGTGTTAAAAAAATGTATACAGTTGGATGCCACCACCTTGAACTCTTGAAGGAAATTTTAAAAAATTGAAATAGCTAGAGGTTGAGATATCTGATAGTAAATGATTGAAAAGCATATCCAAAGAAAAATGATCTGAATTTGAGATGGTATCAAGTTTTTGAGGTAACTGAGCTGTGGTGTTTTTCATCTGTACATGTATGTCATTTTCAGCCTTTAGAAAAGCAAGACTTTTTTATAGTTACTGGATAAGATATTAAAGGAAAAATGGTATCTCTGAGCTTTATTTGACTACTAGTGAGTTACTGATTGACTTTTGTATCACTTTAGATACTGAATGAGAAAGCTATGAAGGATACAGACCTATTGAATGCTCGCCTAACCAAAGTCCAGCAAGACTTTGACCAGCAGTTGCTGAACTGTGATCAGCTGGCAACAGAAAACACTCAGAAAGCTGCTGAGCTCAAGGCAAAAGAAGATGAAATCAATGGCCTTAAACAGGACACAGTACGACTTACAAAAATGAGAGAAGCAATCCAGAGAAAGCTGAGAACCATAGAGGATCAGAAAATGGAGGTTGAACAGCAGAAAGAAACACTCAAAGGACAGATTGCTGGATTAGAAAAAGGTATTAGAATGTGCAGGTAGAAAATTGATGCACTGAAATACGATCTCTGTGTAGCAGGACTGTGGCACTATGGTCACTTCAATTGTTTTTAATGTACGCAATACAGTGAAGTGGGAATTATTTCCAAAGGAATTACTTTATCTCTTTGTAACTGAGTTTTTAAAACTTTCAAATTCTTTTTTATCAGAACTTGAATCAAGCAAGAAACAGGCTGAAGCGGACAAGAAAGCCATTGATGACCTTGTCCGAGAAAGGGATATCCTGAACAAGGTATTTTGCTTTCCAATCTTGAAACTCTACTGTGTTGATGTAACCATTTGAAGTTTAGATGTTACCATTAACACTTGTATACTGCTTGTCTTTTTCAGAATCTGCTGAAGGCAGCTGGTGCTACCCAGAAGCAGCTTGGACTTGTTCGATTGCACGAGCAAACAAAGAAAAACTTGGAGCAGGAAATTCAGGTGAGAACCGTGCAAAAAAGATTGCAATTTCTACACTTCCGACGATTTTGCTATTAAGAACGTCATATGGAATGTAAGCCGGCAACTAGAGATTTCTCATTTTGCAATTTGCAGAAGGCTTGATGTTTTGAAATTTTCCTTTTAAAATTTGCAACATTGTTTATCGTTGAATTTCTTAAAGCAAAATCCCTGTCATTGTAGAAACTGATGCTTCTAGCCATCCGACAGCGTCCACTTGTAGCTATTGATGTACAGTTTCAAGAGTTTTCATCACATTTTGAGTCCCAAAATGAAACACTAATAATTTGTGGAGCATTCCATCGCTAATTGTTTCACTCTTTTTAATTATTAAAAGCGATGAAACATTTTTCGATGGAATGCTGCAGTTTTCTCTTTCATTGACTTTTAAGTTTCCGTACATCCGTTTCCGACTACAAGAAAAACTATTCACGTTGAATCATTCTAATGTTGTGTTTTTATTGTGCGTATAGAACTACAAAGACGAAGCTCAAAAGCAACGTAAGATTATCTACCAACTGGAGAAAGAGCGAGATCGTTACATTAATGAAGCCAGTGAACTCACACAGAAGGTGCTACAACACATGGAAGATGTCAAAGTGCGAGAGATGCAGATCTTTGATTACAAAAAGAAAATTGCTGAGGCTGAAACAAAGTTGAAGCAGCAACAGGTGCGTTTAGGTTATTGAAGATCGAGTAAGCCTTCTCCAGTAAGGGTTTTTAAAAAGTACTTTGAAACAATAAGTCTAGATTGTTCCATTACGTTTGTTCGATTTCTCGTTCTACCTGAAATAAGAAGAGAAAATCGTCGAACTTACGTACAGCACCTCGTTATCGCTGTCAGTCTCTTTTAACTCTGTATGCGTAAACCTCATCTTATTCTCTATGAATTAATCTGCTTCATACGCGAAAATTTAACCTGATCTCCAAGGTTTCTCTCTGTTAGTATACTCTAATTTGTCTCAATTAATGAACAGTTTTACAGGAAGCAATTAACATTGCTCAGTCTCGAGTACAGTGGTATGGGTTGTAGCAAATGTATAAAAAAATATTGAGGGCTTATGACCTGTCTGATTCACAGAATCTCTACGAAGCCGTCCGTAGCGATCGTAACTTGTACAGCAAGAACCTGATTGAATCTCAAGATGAGATCACTGAGATGAAACGTAAGCTAAAGATCATGAACCACCAGATCGACCAGCTGAAGGAGGAGATCATGGCCAAGGAAGCAGCACTGGTGAAAGAGCATCTGGAGCATCAGAGAGTGGAGAAGGAGAAGGACGCACTCAAGGCTGAGTTGCAGAGGATGAAGCAGCAGGCAGCGGAATCCAAGGCCTACATTGAACAGCAGGAGGTGGAGGAGAGGAAGCTGTTGAAGATCATATCTGAAGCTGATGCTGAGAGACTCCGACAGAAGAAGGAACTTGATCAGGTAGGGCTCGTATAGAGGTAGCAATATGTAGCTAATAATTAGGCTCTTGAAGATTATGGACATGACTAACACCTTTGTTTTTCATTCTCTTGATTCTCTTCATGGTTTTGTTTCTTTTTTTTTGCGCTTTCTCTTTGCACATATCACTAACAAATGCGTTGTGTTAGCCTGTTCCAGGCTCTCGGTCAGTGGGGACGATCGAAAAAACGGTTGGGTTACGAGCGGGGTCAAAGGAGAGGTCTCCGCCTTCTCCTTTTCTCTCTCGGATCCCGCTAGTCCCTGATCCTGCTCGTCACCCGCCCGTTTTGTCGATCGTCCCCACTGACCGAGAACCTGGAACAGGTTAGCGTTGTGTTAGTTTGCTTTGGAAAATGCTACACTCACATTACACCAAGCAGTGATACAATTTTCATCAGCTAAGTATAGACCCTTTTCATAAATGGCTGCCAATTTAAAATTGTTTTGTGTGTATTTAAATTGGCCTCACTAAACTCGTTTGGGAGTAAAAATTCTTTTGAATTATCAGCTCAAGAACGAGGTTAGTCAGGCTAATTTTAATACTTACAAAAGAATTTATAATTGGCAGCCATTTACGAAAAGGGTCTATAACCTTAGAAATTATATTGAAGTGAAGCAATAGTTTTTCCCTTCATTTATCTAGTGATTCATTATGATACTGTATTGTGTTAAGTTATTGAATTTACCTATTTGTTCTCCTGGTGTTAGGTGATTAGCGAAAGAGATATTTTGGGAACACAGTTGGTGAGACGTAACGACGAACTGGCCTTGCTGTATGAAAAGATTAAAATACAACAGTCTACTCTCAACAAGGGTAAGGGTTGTCTTTATTGTTCATCAGTGCTGTTTCATTTGCTTGACATTGATAATGATTTAAAGAAAGCTAGTCATACTGGTTATTCTTCTCAACTTTTAGAGTACAGTAAATCTCCCAATGTTGGGTTGAAACCGGTTCATTTTGTTAATGAGTTAAATGTTGGTCTGCAGGAGAGATTCAGTACCGACAGAGACTAGAAGATATCCGACTGCTAAAACTTGAAATCAAAAAACTTCGCCGCGAGAAGAACATTCTTACAAAGAGTGTGGCGAACGTGGAAGATTTAAGGTAAGAACATTTTTTTGTGGGCGCTGTTTACAGTAAAAAAGCCCTAAACAAGTCAGAGAGACTTAAATTACGCCGAGAAAGATCTCAATAAAAATTAACCGTTGTACTTCATTGTCTGGATAGGCGCGAAGTGTATCACACGCAACGCGAGCTTCTCAGAGAACGAACTCGATGCAAAGCTTTGGAAGAAGAACTTGAAAACCCGATGAACATTCACAGATGGAGAAAACTGGAGGTAATTTGACGAAATTTAACCATTAGTTTTAAAACTGGAAAACCCTTGTTGAGTATTTATCAATTTGTTTTTCAGGGAAGTGATCCAAGTACGTACGAAATGATCCAAAAGATTCAAACTCTACAAAGACGACTTATACAGAAGACTGAAGAGGTTTGTCTGATGTGTTGTTTCTCTGTTTCTTGCACGCGCGTGCGTGCGTGCGAGGGGCTCGCGAAAATCTAAGCTCTCTGACGTCATAATTCGGAGTTTCTACCTCGCGAGCGAAGCAGGAAAACTGTGAAAGGCGCAAACGAAGCTCGAAATCGTGGCCAGTAACACTGTACCTCGAAATATTTGAGCATCGAGCGTGATTTTAACCGTCTTTTTTGCCCGAATAAAATTTACAATTTTACCAGGCTTTTACGAAAGGTGCATTTTCAGTGTTCTTCACTAGTACACTACTAAAGGGGATCTCTAACTGGCAACATTCTTGGCAGACCAGACAGTCGCCTTTGCTTTTTGGTTGCAAAAAACAAAAAAGTCATTGGGGGTTTTTAGGCCGAAATTTGCTCTTTACGAAGAACGAACTTTTTCTTAAATTCTACAAACTTTAGGTTACCTCCGTATGCTGTGGTGTGCGATACCCTATGCTTAATTCCAACGTTCTGTAAAAATAGCTTTTTATTTTGGGGGTAAATTAAGCGTGAAAAAGCCCTTTGCCTTATCATTTAGGCGAGTTTTCTTTTGCTGACTTGTTTGTGATTCTCAGGTAGTGGAAAAAGAACTCCTTATTCAAGAAAAAGAGAAACTTTACATGGAACTAAAACAAATCCTCGCTCGGCAACCAGGACCAGAAGTAGCCGAACAGCTCAGCATCTATCAACAAACACTCAAAGAAAAAACCAAGCAAATGAAAGGAATGTCATCAGAACTCAACATGTACGAGGCACAAGTCAAGGAATATAAGTACGAGATTGAGAGATTAGCTAAAGAACTGCAGGAAGTCAAGAAAAAGTTCTACATGCAGAAGAGAAAAGAACAGCAAGCGAGGTAACTGCGTTTGAACGGTTATAATTTTTTTTCTAACACCGTTATGTAGAGAATCACAGGTTACAATCAGTAATATTTTATTTGGCAACTTTGTAACAAGGGTTTTTGCGGAGTTGAACTCAATGGCGGAATGGGAGGTGCCTTGCTATTTTCCGGGATCTGTTTTCCATCATGTGTAACAAAACATCAAGGAATATGGTGTTTAATGGTGATCTCCACATACCCGCTTACATGCGGCACCCAGTTATTATTAAGAGGACAATTGTCATAGACGAGTTGTAGGTAATAGCATTTGGACAACACAGTTTGACTTAAGTAAGCTAATTAACTTGAATTTTACCCGGCTTCAAGACCTAGACTTCATTTCTTATTCAAAGGCTCTGTTGCAGGTTTCAAACACCTCAACAACTATCTTTACAATTACGGAAGATTTTGCAGTCTAAAAATTAACTAAAATCTCCCTACGCATTGAAATATATCCCGTAACAACTCGCAGGGACAGAAAACAGGGTGGTAATAATCATGAGTTTTATTAATTATCTGTCAGCGCCGCCCCCGTTGTAGAGTAAGTCTTTTGTATACTTTCTGACAATGTATCATTTAAACTCCACCTCGTTTACAGTTTTGTTTCTCGTCCAAACCTATGAGTCAGGGCGAGGAGGGAGTCTGGTAATGAGCTTGATGGTTCTTCAAACATGCTCATAAAACCTCAACTTGCGCGAAATTTTCGCCATCACGGTTCCTTATAGTTTTGTGTTTATATTTACAGGGAGAGAGACCGAGCTTACCAACAAGCCACCGGACCTGCTTTCTCTCCTCAGAGAACCGACGGACCGAGATTCACCGGCGGAGGGTTTAATCTTAAGCCACCCGCCAAAGCTGTAGCGTAAAATACAAACAATTCCTCTGTAAATAGTGCAAATAGATCCTCTGGAAATGTATATATAATTTTAAGAATTACCTTGTAAGAAATGACACTCAAATTTTGAGAGGTGTAGTTTAGTAGGGCTTTGTAACGCTTAAAAATATTCCTCATACTGTGTTGTGTCTCTAACTGTCTGCAAGTCGAGATTTTGCACGTACATTCGCACGGAAGCTGTAAAGGGCTCGTGCTAATGTCGCTTCTTTATGAAAGTTTTATTTTTGTTTTAAGAAATGCAAACATGGTTTGAGTAAACACATTTTATGACAAACGTCGATGTGAGTTCTGTTTTTGCCTTCCTCTCTGGCGTGCTCAAATATTTCCTGTTGAAACCCACGTTCCATTTTTTGCTAATCGTCCTTTGTTTCCCACGCAAAACTGCTTATTTTGAAAGTTTTCGCACAGTGCAGGAGAATTGTTTTTTGCTGTTGGTCTTCGTTATGAACATACAATTTGAAGAACAAGAACAAAAGGTACACAATGGGTGCATGTGGCTACGTGTTAAAAGAAGAATAAACAAATAACCTGACAAAAGGCACAGGTGTGAGGATAAAATTCTTTATTAAACCTTACTATTGGTTCTGTCAAAACAATCTTCTAAAAAAATCTACATACAAAACCTACAGTGTCAAATTTCAACGTGATTCAATAAGAAAACTAATTCAGTTTTAAAGAACATGCCTAAAATACAGGCATTAATTGTTAAGTATAAATACATGATACTTGTACTTGTGCTTGGCAGTTCCAAACATCACGCAGCTTGATAATGTACGGATTCATGAATTATCATGAATTACATCACCGTCTTATATAAAACAGTAATTTTCAAAATTCCTAACGAGACGAGTGTCTTCCGTCGTACAGTTTATTTTCCTCCCCAGACCACCACATTTCAATAAAACGAAGGACTGCGAGGAGATTAGGTCCAATTAAGGTACAATAAAATTGAGCATGCGTACTCTATAGACTCGTTCAACATTTTTTATAGCAATGAACAACATTGGCTCACAGCAATTTCCTTTGTCTTCTTAGACTTCTACAGGTCTAACGCCTGAGCACTACAGAAAAATTTCAAATTTCACTGAAAACGTCATTTTAAAACGTTGAGGTGGTGGAAGTCGTGAATCTTCTAAATGAACATAAACGCGAAACCGAGGTTGTTACCGGGCTTACTCCAACGGTTGCAATTAAGGTGAGCAGCTAATCACAATTCAAAGAACAAACACGTGACCTGAACCAGCCGAGGGAAAGTATGTAACCAGCTGTAAGCGCGGGAAAAGGGTAGGCGCGGGAATACAAATTACTTGATTTGTTAAAAGCGCGGGAAAAGTGGGACACCCCAAATAACAATCACAGGTTAAGGTTTAGNGAAGCTGTTGAAGATCATATCTGAAGCTGATGCTGAGAGACTCCGACAGAAGAAGGAACTTGATCAGGTAGGGCTCGTATAGAGGTAGCAATATGTAGCTAATAATTAGGCTCTTGAAGATTATGGACATGACTAACACCTTTGTTTTTCATTCTCTTGATTCTCTTCATGGTTTTGTTTCTTTTTTTTTGCGCTTTCTCTTTGCACATATCACTAACAAATGCGTTGTGTTAGCCTGTTCCAGGCTCTCGGTCAGTGGGGACGATCGAAAAAACGGTTGGGTTACGAGCGGGGTCAAAGGAGAGGTCTCCGCCTTCTCCTTTTCTCTCTCGGATCCCGCTAGTCCCTGATCCTGCTCGTCACCCGCCCGTTTTGTCGATCGTCCCCACTGACCGAGAACCTGGAACAGGTTAGCGTTGTGTTAGTTTGCTTTGGAAAATGCTACACTCACATTACACCAAGCAGTGATACAATTTTCATCAGCTAAGTATAGACCCTTTTCATAAATGGCTGCCAATTTAAAATTGTTTTGTGTGTATTTAAATTGGCCTCACTAAACTCGTTTGGGAGTAAAAATTCTTTTGAATTATCAGCTCAAGAACGAGGTTAGTCAGGCTAATTTTAATACTTACAAAAGAATTTATAATTGGCAGCCATTTACGAAAAGGGTCTATAACCTTAGAAATTATATTGAAGTGAAGCAATAGTTTTTCCCTTCATTTATCTAGTGATTCATTATGATACTGTATTGTGTTAAGTTATTGAATTTACCTATTTGTTCTCCTGGTGTTAGGTGATTAGCGAAAGAGATATTTTGGGAACACAGTTGGTGAGACGTAACGACGAACTGGCCTTGCTGTATGAAAAGATTAAAATACAACAGTCTACTCTCAACAAGGGTAAGGGTTGTCTTTATTGTTCATCAGTGCTGTTTCATTTGCTTGACATTGATAATGATTTAAAGAAAGCTAGTCATACTGGTTATTCTTCTCAACTTTTAGAGTACAGTAAATCTCCCAATGTTGGGTTGAAACCGGTTCATTTTGTTAATGAGTTAAATGTTGGTCTGCAGGAGAGATTCAGTACCGACAGAGACTAGAAGATATCCGACTGCTAAAACTTGAAATCAAAAAACTTCGCCGCGAGAAGAACATTCTTACAAAGAGTGTGGCGAACGTGGAAGATTTAAGGTAAGAACATTTTTTTGTGGGCGCTGTTTACAGTAAAAAAGCCCTAAACAAGTCAGAGAGACTTAAATTACGCCGAGAAAGATCTCAATAAAAATTAACCGTTGTACTTCATTGTCTGGATAGGCGCGAAGTGTATCACACGCAACGCGAGCTTCTCAGAGAACGAACTCGATGCAAAGCTTTGGAAGAAGAACTTGAAAACCCGATGAACATTCACAGATGGAGAAAACTGGAGGTAATTTGACGAAATTTAACCATTAGTTTTAAAACTGGAAAACCCTTGTTGAGTATTTATCAATTTGTTTTTCAGGGAAGTGATCCAAGTACGTACGAAATGATCCAAAAGATTCAAACTCTACAAAGACGACTTATACAGAAGACTGAAGAGGTTTGTCTGATGTGTTGTTTCTCTGTTTCTTGCACGCGCGTGCGTGCGTGCGAGGGGCTCGCGAAAATCTAAGCTCTCTGACGTCATAATTCGGAGTTTCTACCTCGCGAGCGAAGCAGGAAAACTGTGAAAGGCGCAAACGAAGCTCGAAATCGTGGCCAGTAACACTGTACCTCGAAATATTTGAGCATCGAGCGTGATTTTAACCGTCTTTTTTGCCCGAATAAAATTTACAATTTTACCAGGCTTTTACGAAAGGTGCATTTTCAGTGTTCTTCACTAGTACACTACTAAAGGGGATCTCTAACTGGCAACATTCTTGGCAGACCAGACAGTCGCCTTTGCTTTTTGGTTGCAAAAAACAAAAAAGTCATTGGGGGTTTTTAGGCCGAAATTTGCTCTTTACGAAGAACGAACTTTTTCTTAAATTCTACAAACTTTAGGTTACCTCCGTATGCTGTGGTGTGCGATACCCTATGCTTAATTCCAACGTTCTGTAAAAATAGCTTTTTATTTTGGGGGTAAATTAAGCGTGAAAAAGCCCTTTGCCTTATCATTTAGGCGAGTTTTCTTTTGCTGACTTGTTTGTGATTCTCAGGTAGTGGAAAAAGAACTCCTTATTCAAGAAAAAGAGAAACTTTACATGGAACTAAAACAAATCCTCGCTCGGCAACCAGGACCAGAAGTAGCCGAACAGCTCAGCATCTATCAACAAACACTCAAAGAAAAAACCAAGCAAATGAAAGGAATGTCATCAGAACTCAACATGTACGAGGCACAAGTCAAGGAATATAAGTACGAGATTGAGAGATTAGCTAAAGAACTGCAGGAAGTCAAGAAAAAGTTCTACATGCAGAAGAGAAAAGAACAGCAAGCGAGGTAACTGCGTTTGAACGGTTATAATTTTTTTTCTAACACCGTTATGTAGAGAATCACAGGTTACAATCAGTAATATTTTATTTGGCAACTTTGTAACAAGGGTTTTTGCGGAGTTGAACTCAATGGCGGAATGGGAGGTGCCTTGCTATTTTCCGGGATCTGTTTTCCATCATGTGTAACAAAACATCAAGGAATATGGTGTTTAATGGTGATCTCCACATACCCGCTTACATGCGGCACCCAGTTATTATTAAGAGGACAATTGTCATAGACGAGTTGTAGGTAATAGCATTTGGACAACACAGTTTGACTTAAGTAAGCTAATTAACTTGAATTTTACCCGGCTTCAAGACCTAGACTTCATTTCTTATTCAAAGGCTCTGTTGCAGGTTTCAAACACCTCAACAACTATCTTTACAATTACGGAAGATTTTGCAGTCTAAAAATTAACTAAAATCTCCCTACGCATTGAAATATATCCCGTAACAACTCGCAGGGACAGAAAACAGGGTGGTAATAATCATGAGTTTTATTAATTATCTGTCAGCGCCGCCCCCGTTGTAGAGTAAGTCTTTTGTATACTTTCTGACAATGTATCATTTAAACTCCACCTCGTTTACAGTTTTGTTTCTCGTCCAAGCCTATGAGTCAGGGCGAGGAGGGAGTCTGGTAATGAGCTTGATGGTTCTTCAAACATGCTCATAAAACCTCAACTTGCGCGAAATTTTCGCCATCACGGTTCCTTATAGTTTTGTGTTTATATTTACAGGGAGAGAGACCGAGCTTACCAACAAGCCACCGGACCTGCTTTCTCTCCTCAGAGAACCGACGGACCGAGATTCACCGGCGGAGGGTTTAATCTTAAGCCACCCGCCAAAGCTGTAGCGTAAAATACAAACAATTCCTCTGTAAATAGTGCAAATAGATCCTCTGGAAATGTATATATAATTTTAAGAATTACCTTGTAAGAAATGACACTCAAATTTTGAGAGGTGTAGTTTAGTAGGGCTTTGTAACGCTTAAAAATATTCCTCATACTGTGTTGTGTCTCTAACTGTCTGCAAGTCGAGATTTTGCACGTACATTCGCACGGAAGCTGTAAAGGGCTCGTGCTAATGTCGCTTCTTTATGAAAGTTTTATTTTTGTTTTAAGAAATGCAAACATGGTTTGAGTAAACACATTTTATGACAAACGTCGATGTGAGTTCTGTTTTTGCCTTCCTCTCTGGCGTGCTCAAATATTTCCTGTTGAAACCCACGTTCCATTTTTTGCTAATCGTCCTTTGTTTCCCACGCAAAACTGCTTATTTTGAAAGTTTTCGCACAGTGCAGGAGAATTGTTTTTTGCTGTTGGTCTTCGTTATGAACATACAATTTGAAGAACAAGAACAAAAGGTACACAATGGGTGCATGTGGCTACGTGTTAAAAGAAGAATAAACAAATAACCTGACAAAAGGCACAGGTGTGAGGATAAAATTCTTTATTAAACCTTACTATTGGTTCTGTCAAAACAATCTTCTAAAAAAATCTACATACAAAACCTACAGTGTCAAATTTCAACGTGATTCAATAAGAAAACTAATTCAGTTTTAAAGAACATGCCTAAAATACAGGCATTAATTGTTAAGTATAAATACATGATACTTGTACTTGTGCTTGGCAGTTCCAAACATCACGCAGCTTGATAATGTACGGATTCATGAATTATCATGAATTACATCACCGTCTTATATAAAACAGTAATTTTCAAAATTCCTAACGAGACGAGTGTCTTCCGTCGTACAGTTTATTTTCCTCCCCAGACCACCACATTTCAATAAAACGAAGGACTGCGAGGAGATTAGGTCCAATTAAGGTACAATAAAATTGAGCATGCGTACTCTATAGACTCGTTCAACATTTTTTATAGCAATGAACAACATTGGCTCACAGCAATTTCCTTTGTCTTCTTAGACTTCTACAGGTCTAACGCCTGAGCACTACAGAAAAATTTCAAATTTCACTGAAAACGTCATTTTAAAACGTTGAGGTGGTGGAAGTCGTGAATCTTCTAAATGAACATAAACGCGAAACCGAGGTTGTTACCGGGCTTACTCCAACGGTTGCAATTAAGGTGAGCAGCTAATCACAATTCAAAGAACAAACACGTGACCTGAACCAGCCGAGGGAAAGTATGTAACCAGCTGTAAGCGCGGGAAAAGGGTAGGCGCGGGAATACAAATTACTTGATTTGTTAAAAGCGCGGGAAAAGTGGGACACCCCAAATAACAATCACAGGTTAAGGTTTAGGTTTCGCAGCTTATTGACCGGATGAGAACGTCTTTGCTGTGATTGGTTAAAGCACTTTGTGGAAAGCCACTCCATCAAAGTTGTTAATACTGGCAGTTAAATCGTCGAGTGTAAAGTTCCCATGTGCTGAACATCCCGCATGCAGTCACAATTCAGTCTAAACGTTCTCTTAGCGAGACGCGTACGAAAAGCCGAGGAATAAAGAAGCCTTCTGATATGCAAAGTGAGGCTTCTAACTTGGAGTTGAACCGAATTAGAAGCAACAATGTTCAAGCTATAATGAGATTTGACATGTCCATGTCCTTTGGTCGATATTTACTGAATATCATTTGAACGTAGCACTGGACGCTCCTTGGTTCCGGTTTTTTGAGACGAACCATGTCCTCTACATCAAGAAGAGCAGGTATTCCAACAGACCTGAAAACACAAAGAACGATTGTCACTATTAGATGTTCAGCCACTGTTATTAAATTTACTGAGCTTTCTGACACTCATAGAAAACGAGGGCGAGGAGTTTTATTGCTTTAGTAGAGACTACAAAAGGTAACTGTCGAAAACCTACAATTTTGAGTCAAAAATCAACATATTTTTTTTCCTTTCAAAGGCACCGCGCACACGATTGCGGTCTATTGGCGAATGTACAACTGTGTGAACCAATCAGATTCATAGATTTGCAAAAGAACACGACAAAATTCTTTAAATACATGGACGATATCAGTACTTGTGAAGACCAACATTATTGCCTTGCCATGAACAGTAAAATCAAGAATGAATACTTACGTCCCAGTCTCGAATGCCAACTTGAAGTTGTATTCCCTATTTTCCGCTGACAGCGAGTTATAGTCAAACTTATCAGGGTTGAATTTATGGATCAAAGCGCAGAACGCCAAACCATTACTGAAGCTACCACTGAAGTTAGTAATATTTACTCCCTGCAGTAAAACAGACAAAATACTCCGCTTTAAATTCAGTAACCTGTTCGCTGAATTAAGGATGGAACTGACGAAAACCAAAATCAAGAAGGCACGTTACAGTTCACTGTTAGGTAGTCGCGTTTGTTCGTTCAGTGACAAAAATAACTGTAGTGATTGAAAATCCCATGCAAAACAGAATATTCCTACGAAAGACGCTTAATATTGCGTGACTCTAATTAACCGTGTCACAGTCGTTAGTTACCTCATACTCTTGCGTGACATCTTTACACCACGTCAAGATCAACGAAGATACCGACATCTGTCTTTTCAGTTGAGGTTTCTTTTTCAGTTCCCTTGGACTGTGGATGAAAGAAAAAGAACTTAAAATAACGCTTACGGAGAGGAGTTCTCCAGAAAATCAAATTGGAACAATATGGACTGCAGAATTGTTCCTATATAAGCCAAACTTTTTGGTGGTTTTCCAGTCTACCCTATTACAACATTACTTTCACTCCTCCCCACCAAATTTATTTTGAGATTGCGCAAGCGACATGTTAATCCACCCACAACCCGTAGTTCTAACTTACGCCTTGTTTGGATCCGGCGCTTTCTTGAGCGATACTTTCTCTGTTGGACTTGTTGGGGTGGTCGGACCCGTTGAACCGGTTGTACTGGCTGTACTGGCTCTGTTCGTTATTCCTGTTGGACCGGAAGGACTGGTCGGCGTAGTTGCATTAAACCTGTTTACGGACGGAGTTGGAGTCTTTTGTACAAACTGTTTCTCCTTCGCTCTTTTCTCGTCCTCTGCAGCTTTCTTGAAAAAAGCCATGCGGTCCTTAACGGAACCCATGCCTCCACCTAATGGGTCTGACGGTGGCCTGCCTCCAGGGCGACCAAACTTGGGACCCTGGAAACGACACAGTAAGACAACAAAACCGATGAGAAACTAATAATATTAATAGATCAAGTCCACTTTTGGCGGGAATTACACCTCGGCTGATTACCTGATGAGTTACACCTCGGAATAATGTGTATGTAACTATGATACTACTTGTAAATTAAAGATTTTGGGTTCTCGTATCTGAGTAAATTATTATTTTTTTCGGTATGGTTGCATTGAAAGAAGTTTGGTCAAAATGGTGAGATGTTCTAACCTCACAAGTATGTACTATGATTTCTATTTGGAAAAAAATTCCAAGTAGACGATTTAAAAGTACAAAGGTGATGATAATCTCTGACTATTTTAGATAAATTACAAAGGAACTTACATCAGTTTTGGAGGGTAAGAATGAGTTAGGTCTGGGAGGTCCCACCCTCTGAGGGCCTGGATCAGACCACTGCCTCGATGCCCGGCCAGCCCCCGCGTTGCTATCCCTCGGGGGAGGAGGCTGCCAAATGCGGGTTGCTTTAGGAGGTTCCTCTCTTTTGGGTGGTTCCTCACACCTCTTTTGAGGTTGGTTGTTTTCGTTGCCATATTCAAATCGTTTCTTTGCGTTTGGAGATCGCGGGCTTTCCTGAATGGCTGTGAGCTCCGTTTCACTGCGGTTGGTGATGGTGTTCCCTTCAATCGCCAGCTTCTCGTGGCTCTCCTTCCGTGAGGACCGCCGTATTTTTCTCTGCTCCTTGACCTGGTCGTCGCCTTCCGAGGTGTTAACCAGTTTAACTGAATCTCCACTCTTTACATACATCAGGCCGTCCAGTTCCTCCTTTCTCTCGATCTCACGAACCGACCTTCTTCGGCCTCGAAGGCGCCCTAGATTCTGTAGCAAGTCTTGCTTGGTCTTTGAATCTTGATGGGTTTCCATGGGCACTCGCTTCATCACCGATGAAGACGAAACTGTTAATTGTGGGGGTGGTGAAGGGGCTTCCTGCTCTCTACTCTTGATCAGAGCTTCCTGGTCAATTTTAAACAGTTCTGCCAGAGACGACCTCCGTGAAACTCTCTGCGGAGTTTCTGCTTCCTTCTCTTTTTCTCTTTTCACCTCTGTGTTGTTATTAACGTCTTGATCCCTCCTCGGTCGTTTCTCTTCGAGGTTAGATCTCACATGGTTGTGTTGATGCCTCCAAGTGTTACTTTCACTGGGGCGATTTTCAGGCGGACTTTCCTCTTTATTCGCCATCTTGAAACTGAAAGTGCTGCGCGTATTTCTGGGCTGTTTAGGTGCGACGTTCTCTTTTCTTGCTGGACTTTCTTCTCTGTTAATGCGATTGGCTCTTTCCTGATAACTTTCTTTCGCTGAGCTCCCAACAGCCATAGTGAACTTAGATGACATGGCGGGTGCGCGCGAATTGTTACCATTTTCACCTGTCATTTTCTCTTTCTTGTCTCTCAGCGTTCGTAACTCCGCCCTGAGTTGCCTTCGTTCTGTTATATTTTTAGTCCCTTCCAGCTGCAAGAATAACAGACATGCGTTGGGTAATTCGGCCTTGATGATTTTTCTTTGGCCCTTTACGGCCATTTGTCCAATTGCAAAAATCTTTTCTACCCAGGCACACTAAGCCATAAATAGCCAAGCAATACGTTTCAGAGCCAATCAGTTGGTTGCAAAACTGTTGGCGATATAATTCAATCTAGCGATGGAATTTGAATTTACTGCTAGTACAAGTTATCATATAAAATCTGAAAGAGAATATATTTTATCGTAAGTGAGTGTATCTGCAGTTAAAATATGGTACATGTTATTTTTCGCACACGCACTTCCATTAGTTAAATTAAAATAGTTTCTTTTGAACAGAGAAAAGTTTGCAACCTTTTCAGGACATACATACATACATATACATACATAAAACTTTATTTTATCTCAGATTTGAGTAGCCAAAAATAGGCTAGTATCTCCGAGAAAATTGTTCTGCCACAGACGACCTCCGTGAAACTCTCTGCGGAGTTTCTGCTTCAACGCACAGACTAAGAAACAAATTTGTATGTAGCCTAAGTTCTTCATTTTAAAACAGTCTGAATGCTAATAAAACTCAAGAACTCTGGATGTTATGCATCGTCTCTACATTGCCTCGCTCCTACGTTAAACCGTATTGTATTAATGTAAATCTTTCTCAAAACAGCCATCTTTTCCATGCTCACGTGCCGCTAAACAAACTGTTTAGAAAAACGCCCGAAAACAAACTTCTGCGAATAAAGGAAGAGAAAATACGCGAAAACGCTTCAAGAGTTTCGAAAGCGAGAAAGGATGGAAGTTGGGCCAAGAAAGCCGCTGTTTGTCGGTCAAGTCATATGAGATGAGAATCTATGGCGAAGCTTTGCACACCTCAGGTCAATGAAATGATAACGAATTCGGCCAAGTCTGCACATCGAAATGTAAGTAATGAAATTAGGAACATAAAAGCAAGCTTGTTCTAATATCATTCAGCACCTGAAGTGGCCATGAAGTGTTCATTTAATAGGGAAATGACTGAGATAGATAGATAGATATTCCATGATGAGTTTATTTTAATCGAGTGTTAAAATAAGCTAAAAGTTTACGCAATTCCTTGGCGAATAACAAGCCGCTCATTTAAACTGTTCAGTGCACGTATTCAAGTGGGAAAGAATTGATTATTTGATCACAACCATTTGAGATGGAATTTGAAGAAAGTCCGGAGAGCGGGTCAACAACTTTAAAAAGCAACAAGTGAATAAGGATGTCCAGCATTGTTGTTTTTATTAGGTTCGATTTCCGCCGCTCTATCGAGTCCGCTGTACGTTCCCCTAGGAGCGCGGGCTCCTTTCCCGAACAGCGGCTGTTGCTCAAGACTGTGTTTTCATTGGACGACGGAGAAATGCAGAGCCATGAATAGTTTGATGGGACCTTAGCTGTCTACTTCAATAGGTATACTGGGATGGTGTGTTTGGAAAAGGTACCCAAAAGTTTTCTTTCGATAAGATCTTTTGCACCGGTAATGAAACTAGAGAATTCAAAAAGTTCAATTCAATTTTTGGTGGAAACGTCTGTTTTATGATTCCACTGACTGAGAATAAGGTCAAAAGATCGTCAAACTGAACAGTGTAATCTTAAGTTGCGATCTATTCAGTAAAGCCGTCGTTTCTGCATATTCCAGACAAGTAATTAACTACGCATTGTGCAAAGTGTTATCTCAGTACGTGCTGTAAATGAGATCTAAAGCGTTTTTAAATTTGCAACGACCCTTCTCAACGTATTGTCTTCTCAAATGTCACCAAAAAGAAAAGATGATAAATCATTTGGACTGGCGCTAGTCATAGAAAAGATAAAATCAAAACCAAAAGTGACATATAAAGAGTTTAAAGCGAGGAGTAATTATCTTGACGAGGTATTACCACTTCTACCGGGGAATATTTACCATAATACAAAAATACAATATGGTGTCTTGATATTCAGAAGTACGATATGAAAGTTACGTGAGTAATATGCTAAAAGGCAGGGAGATTTTTGCTACCAAAAATAATATTTGCGCGCGATGTGCAAGCTATTGCCGGCAAATACTGGCCTGTGTGATTAGTTACGTTAGTTAGTTACGTTAGTAATATGCTAAAAGGGAGATTTTTGCTACCAACAATAATGTTTGCGCGCGATTTGCAAGCTATTGCAAATACTGTGTGATTGGTAATTAATCAGAGCACGAGAAAAGGTAATATTTACCATGTTCATTACTCGCAAAAAGTACGTAAATGATACTTATATCTTGATAAATTGAGCCAAAAGTGACTTTCAAGTTCGTCTTTGGTAATGCTTATTCATCCTTGGAGGTTCGCTTCGATTTGAAATTGTCGATTTTCACGTTTCGTGACATACCTCGAAATTGTTGTCAATAGTTTGAATTCCCTTACCACTTCGATGAATAATTGCTCAGTAAAGTGCATTTTGATCTGAATATTGCCGTGATAAACATGCCAATTTTAAGATAAAATGACAGACGATGTTTCCGGTGAAACAAAAACAGACATAATGTAGACAAAATTAAAATCAAGAATGTCTCATTCGTGATAATAGAACATTTCTTGGCGCGGCTATGTCAAGTGGATAAAACTCGAAGATAAAAACAACTTTCAAAAAGATGAACCCACTAAACCACGCCTGCCTTTTCTTTTTCATCACTGAGTTACTTTAAACTGAGGTACTTGTAAACTTTAACCTTTAACATGTCGAAAGAACGGAGGTATTCGCGGTTTGAAAACTTGTCATAATTGTGTTTTCTCAAATACTCGTCAAGTTGTGAAAATTCTAAGAATGACTCTTGTGTGTAGGTGGCGATAGACAGAAATAATTTCACCTGTTCTCGACTGACACCGGGAACGAAACAAACTGAAATAAAAATAGCAGCTTGAAGCTTCAATTATTGAACGCTGACAGCAAAGCTTCTTAGAAATGATCAACTTTTTCAGAATGAAGTCGATAAAATGTGACCCAAGCCCACAAGTGGTAAGAGCAATTGACAGAATCACTGGATAAACACAAAGTTTTCAAAGAAAACAAACAGATCAACCTAGCAAAAAACGACAAAAAACGGTAGCATAACGGCAATATTGTTTATTTTGTTCAAGTACCGGCTTTCGGCGATTTTTTTTTTTGTTTTTCATCGACCTGAATATTTTGGAATGGTTCTCGTACCATCCATTCTCAGATAGTTCTCGACCGTGCCGTTTTATCATATCACCACATGACAGTTTTCCAAGGAATTTCTTTCGCGACCTCTGTTTTCCGACAAAGAGAAATGGTTTTAGCGTCGTAGCTAGAACAAACTTTCAATGCCTTTTTAATGCCGACGAAGAATCAACCCATTGTCACTGTCTATCTACAAGACCAGCCTCATCAATTCTTCGCTGGTTGTCAGCTTGATAAACCTCCTCAGTCACTGACAGAATAATGGAGAAACTCTCAAAACTGTTATCTTTCTTCGCTCTATTTCGCGATTTTCTGAGCACAAAATGACAGCCTTAATCAATGTTTGTTTGACGCAAACATTGTGCCGCTCAAAGCGCTTTCTGTGGTACCGAAAAGGAAAGATTATCAAAGCAAAAATAAGCCAGAGTGAAAGATTAAAAGAAACTTTATACTGGCATATTCAGATTTATAAAGCAAATAATCGTCTAAGATATTATTTTGATAATCATTCATATTATGATGAAATTTTATTCTGGGACATCACAGACATAATTCAAGCAGAAATTCTTTACTATTTTTCACGGTATGAAAAAACAAGAAAAATTCCTCTTAGCAAACCATCTGTCGCGATTGTTAGTAACAGCCGTGGAGCACATTGGTGAATCCGTCCGGGCATGGATCGAACTTTCACAATTGCGCGACAAAAACGTCATACAATAGAAGCCATGAAAAAAGCATATTAGCAGAGAACCGCGGGGTTTAACCCTCCTTTATACAAACCCAGCAACCATAACTGAACGGAATAACTCTAAATTTACTAACTAGGTTTTACTTTTTATGCCGGCACGGTAGTCATATTTATACAAAGGTTTTAGGAAATGGGGTCAGTGAGTCACGCAGAGACAAACAGGTTTTCGTTTACGACTTACCGGCATAACAGTTTTTCTCCCCGCTTCCAAACGAAAGTAAACACTTTCGTTCAAAGGTAAACAGATTATGAAAATAAGATTCCATCGTCTGTTTTTGTATAGCGACGGGTATTGCACTCGGTCTGTATCACGTTCGCGACCATTACGACGAAATCAGCTCAAGTTTTGGTGAACTGTTAACCTTGCAGTACATAATTCCGATAAAGGATCATAAAACCTGTTCTTGAAAACTGACAAGCATTTCAAGCATTACTTTGATAGAAAGTGCCCTTAGAAACACACAACTGTTTATTTCGCTGTTAGTACCAAAAAGTACTGGGAAGATTTCTTCTCAAAGACGTATGCCCTGGAAAACCTAGTATCTCAAAATCGAAAACGGAATGCCCAGAGGCTGCAGAATAACCACTTGCAAATGGTCTAAAATTCCGCATTGAAAAAATTCACACAAGACAGTAAAATATGTCAATTAACTGAAAACATTAGTTATTTGAGTTATCCCAACACAAAAGAATGCCTGACAATAAGCGTAGTAATTTCTAATGCAAATGACCGACGTGTGAGTGCTCTATTCCCTAAGTGACACTTCACTACGAATGATGTTCAAGACTCTTACAGCTGAATTCTAAATTAGTCCGGCACAGGAATCTGCAATACACCGGTAGCGAATATTCGCCTTACTGAAACGCCGGACTTGTGTCATTTCGGACTAGCTTTTACAAGGCGTCGACTTCTAAATCGGATTGCACTTGCAAAGAAAACACAGCTTTGAAGTGAAAAAAAAAATCAAAACTAAAATGAACAACCAACATTTGCTCAATTACATTGACATGGGCCTAATTAAGCAATAAATCTTGATATGTATGGCTGAAGAAATACTAGCAACAAGAGCTGAGAGTGCCAAACTGATAACACACAAACTATGGCCTTGCGCCACTCCATCTTACCATAAACACACGCAGCTCAGCTTGCATACGGAGAAATTTCAGTTGCAAGCTAATTTAAATGACTGCTACCCAGCGTGGGACGTAAATTGTCCACTGTCATGACTGTGTACTATTGTGTAAGTGTCTGCTAATTCCAGTGGACACAACAGACAGACATGGAGCGATGAAACTCGATCTAACGGGATGGTGGCAGCCAAGGCGAACCCACACTGACAACTTCGCTTAAATGCATCGCTTGAAAGTTTGTTTCGTGCCTCTCTGGAATAAAGCAAACTTAAGTAATCCTACATGACGATAACCAACGATCTCAAATTCTGCCGCAAGCACGATAGGAGAGCGAAACGCAAATGAATATAGCGGGAGCGAGGTTTTCGCTCGCTATCTTGCCCGGTATTCACATCAAATATTTCGATACAAAGGCATGTTCCTTGACCTCACTTGTGGCTAGCGCCTTCATTAACTATGCGCACTCAAGTAGAAAACTTTGACATGATACTAGGAGCAAAACTCGTGCAATATAGATTGAGAACACTCGGCAATATCAATTTATGCCGTGATTTTTTACACTGATTTTCGTCGCAATTAAACTCCGTAGCAATGCCAAGTATTAGAAATTCAGTTTCGCATTAATTCTCGTTAAATGTCACCGGCGCGTTAGTAACAAAACTTTGGCAGCCATACGAAGGATCGATCAATGTAGGAACAAAAGAATTCTACTTACTTTCTGCTTGAGAAGAGATTCCTGGCGATTTAGCTCGTCGAGTGTAGCCATTCTGACGTTTTTTCAGGTTGGACCCCTGTACAAGAAAGGAGAGAATTTACAACAGCTGTAGTGAACACTGCCTACCCCCACACATATGAACCCGCAAGCTTATTATCAGATGTAGAGTTGAATTAGGCCTTGCTATTACCAGAATGCAAATCAAGATGCTTGTTTGTTTTTCTTGTCTCTTTTGATTGAACGGACAAAAGAATACAACTCCGAGGCACAAATGAAATATGGTGACGTTTTGATGACGTCAAAAATTAAACTTAATCTTTCGCTGCCGTAACACAAGCTAGCACTTACGGTCTCTCCACAAAGCACACGCTTGTACAAGATTCCCTTCTGTCTGTCTTAATCGCGTCTTGAGGTCACTGTAGTTTCGTGATTGTACGGAAGATAGCTCACTGTTGAGGAGAACACAAAATTAGTTCTTCGACCACTTGTATTTGGACACATGTCAGATCATGTCAGATTTGAAATCAAGACAGTTCATTGTGACCTTTGTGTTTGATTGTCCGTGATGACCTCGAAAATAGCGACAACTGAAAGCCGAAAATGATCCGATTTATCCGTGTTGTACACACAGCCTGCAGGCTTGCGCCAGGCGGACGAACTGTAAGATGACCGTCATCCGACGCATTACGTCTTTTTGACGTTCCTAGAGCACAAAAATGCAGCTGTTTTGAGTGTTATGGAGGCGTTTTACGTCCCGCAAAAATGTTATTATGACTACAAAGACAACTTATTTCAAGCCACTTAAAAATGACCGTAGATTTGGCTAATTAGCCTCCCGGCCGCGCGCTGGAGATACCCACGCTTAAATTCAGTCGCAACGAAACACTCAAAATTTGCCTCTCTTTCTACATGATAATGTGAGAAATGATTAAAATGTGACAGGTTTATATTTGCTTCGCTACATGCAGCAGCAGAACTTATATCTCTATTTGGATTCACAGCTGCGATGTGTCTTAACAAGCTAAAGCTTAAAACCACGCGGCCAAGAAATATGTTCATGACAGCGTCTGGGGTGGAGAAAGATCGAAAACTCCCTACCTTCTTCCTCGGCTGTGGTCTTATGTGTGTAATAAGATGGATTTTATCAATACCCTGCTATCGTGCGTACTCGGGAAAGTGAGTTAAGAAACCGGCAGTAGACTTCAACCCAGCTGCGAGGTTAATCGCTGGATATATGGTCTCTCTCGAGTGAAATCCTCTTAGAACTGACCTCTTTTCAAGTTGCCTCGCTGATTTAAAACTGACGCGCGCCAGACAATCAGCGGAATAGGGGAAGGGAGGCCTGTAATTATATGATAAAATAGATATTTTGCGATAAAATAGCGAGATGTCCTGCTAGAAAAATATTGAATCCTTTGAATTGACCGTTACGCCGTGTAAGGGGTTGAATGATAACATTGTTGACAATCTTGGTTACTTCTGTTCGCAGTATCAAGGATTTGCAAAGAGTTATTTATGGTATTCATATCGATAAAGGAAATCGTTGACCAAAGATATCGTCGAGACATATGCCGGGAAAGAAACTTTAGCCAAAAAATAATACTTCACAGCTTGAATTTTGTCCAGATAAACCAATGAAGGTCAGCTGAGACTGGGGAATCACATTTGTGAGAACGTGTCAATCGCTGTATATAGAGAAATGCTTGTCAAAGCAATACAAAGTGTTTTAGTTTTCAGGAATTGTAGCTAACAGTGTTATGAGAGAGAGGAGTATTCCACCAGTTGCTGAAAACGTTCATCTTGCTTTACTCTACATCTTTCAAATAAACCGTCTAAGTATCATGCATAGTTTTTGTGTGCCTTACACATGATGACTATTTTTGGTAACCTTTTCTGGAAACCGAAGGCCGTTATTTTGGCAATTAACTGTTGACATAATTATGAAACGGTGATCTTTCATCAATACTTATCGAAGTCTGCAAAGTGGAGTAAAGAACAATTCCAGGCAATTATCACTTGTTCGCAGATGCAACGCAAATTTTTTAAGAAACCAATTTTCCTGTAATATAATTATCATTTTAATTATTAAAATAAGCTAACCCGCATTTGTTTAAATCCCTATAAGCCATGTGTTTTTATTCATTTTATTCCTCATTATTTCAAGAGTCGAAACGCAACCTACCTGAAATTGTAGTCAGAAGACTTTTCTCACGTAAGATCCATAAAATGTTTCTTTAACTCTTAGCTAGCCTTTAACGGTTTTATTTAATAGTATAAAGGCAAAAGTAATGACGGTTGTTTTTCATTTTGACTTTTTTTTTTTTGAGAAATGTGAGTACTTAGCAAAATAGGCGAGCTGGAATGAATGCTTTTAAAAGGGATTTAAAAAATCTCACGTGCATTTTGAACAAGAATGAACGCATTCTTTGTGTTGTCTGATCCTTGGCTAATTTGTACGCGTGGTTTAGCTTGTGGTTTTCATTAGACGAGAGCCATTTCTAAACTATTAATCCTATCGAGTATCGTCATTGGCGGCCAATGTATTTTATATTTGTAGGTTTGAACCTGCTCTCGTTAAAAAATATATTTGCCGTGGTAAATTGCGCCACATTTTATGCGTGTGGAAGAAGTTGCGCTTCTGAGGCGTATACCAGACTTATAGTCTGACGTATATCACGAGAATGAAAGATAACAGCAATATCCACCTGGTTGTCACAAATGGTATCTGCTCCCAGCCTCTTGTTTGTTATGATCCGGTTGTAGCGTTTGTTTTTTTCGTTGTAATGTTTTCACCGCATGCAGCTGATGTGTTTTCTTTCTCAATTAGGAACTGTTTGTGGTCCAATTAATTTTTAAAGAAAGTCCACCGAGAGATGACCACAATATCCATGAATTTCAGTCAAACATAAATTAATTTTTCAAACATGAATTTGTAAAGTTAGAATTAGGAACAGACCAGAAAGCTTACGAAACCAATGTACGTTTTAAAAGTTAGCAAACTTCACGGATTCCTACTAGTCTGATTTGATGTGTCTTCAACTTTATATTGAAACTTCCCTTCTGTGGTCTTTAATACTGAGAATAATTGAACGTCCTTACCGTTGAAACGCATATCCTGATACACTCACTTACCTTCAATATCTTCTTAATTTCTTTATGCGCTGTTAATGTACTTTTCAACTTCTCCACTAATGGCTTTGACGGAATTGTGTTAGCTGCGCAGTGCTGTTTCGCGAATGAAGCATTGACCGGCGACAAGAACACAGAACAATGACAAACTTCTGCTGTGCATTCACGTGCGTAGAAGTGACAGGTGGGCGGGGAGTATTTCCTGTGACAACTCAGTGCCAAAACCGCGAGAAAAAAATCAATGTTAGATACCGGTAATCCTTCCGCAGAGTCACGTACGATCATACAGAAGTAATGAAAAATGTTGACAAAAGAAATGATCGTGCTCGTTGAGTAAATATATGTTTTGCGATAGATCACGGAATTTTGCGTTTTTTTTAAGAGTAATTGATTGAGTTTTAAAATCCCTGCGTGGTGATATCGGCCTCCTCTTTCCGTCAAGGACGTCTGCAATCTGAAGTGATTTGGACACGATCGACGAAGCAAGTTAATCTGTTTTAGAATTAAGATCTTTCCAGTCGAGCAACTGGCCGTTAAAAGGTATTAATGTTAAGATGGCGCATGGTTCTTGAAATAACGTGCAAGAAATCGAGAGTAAAAATCGTGCAAAGTGTCGAAGTTACTTGCATGCACTTGGAGAGAACTGGAAAATACGCCTCAACAAGGGTGAGATAAGCAACGGTAGGTTAATTACTGATAACAATTTCGGTCTGACTGGGCTCATAAGAAATATTCTGTCGATTAAAGAAGATGGATAAAACGGTTTTTATGTAAGCTCATGTTTTGACCGACAGCTACGATTTGAGGATTTATTTCATAATCAAAGCTGCTCAGTGCGGCTATGGATAGCAGAATGTGTCCGAAACAAAGAAGTCGTAATCAGACTTAATGTGGAAGTATATAACAACTTTTTACTACATGTAGCCAAAGCCAAGACATCTTTGAATCAATCGTCTCTAACACACAGAACATAATTTAGTCGTGATATTTGATTACGACCCCAACAACTTCTGACTGGCACAAAAGGAAAACGTTCTCTTTGGGTGATTTATAACAGCATTTTCCCATGCAAATCCCGGCAACGCTCTATCATGAGAAAGACCACTGCAAGGTTTAGAATTTTGAATAGTAGCAGTGCTTCAAAAGGGTCCCTGGTGGAGACGCCACATGATAGTGAAACAGTCATCGAATCTTAACCTTATTCCAAACTAAACAAATAAAAACTGGCCATGATAAGGATTCTACAATCATTGCTCGAGATTGATTACGATGATTAGAAAACAACTTTCAAGAGATCGTAGTTAAGAGTCTGATCTTAAGATAGGAAGTTGATTAAGTGTGATCCTAACGGTGTTATAGCTAGAATGCACCGTTAGATGTCGAGGAAAATACCAGAAAATAGCAATGATAATCAAGCTATGACAAGGGCCTTCTTGTCAGTCTGTGGTTCAGTGAAAAGAAATTGGTCATGCCCACTGATTTGATCGCAAAACCAATTAAGAGTTATTTTCATCGAGATGGGATGAAATGCGAAGCAAAAATGTCCAAGTCTTAGGATTAGCCATGCAGTCGATCTTTTTCCGATTGAATAGATATTACCAGGAGTTCTTTCACAGCTACCTCCTAACTTCATATGTCAGGGTCACGTGACGGATTCCCGCAAAAGGTTTAAAAGAATCGAACCCTTCGGCTGTACTTTGCAAACTCGGCTCAAACAGATTAGAGTCCTCGATATCTAATTGGCTAACGACGAACAATAGAGGTAGTTTCTACGGCATTTTTTTTTAAAAAACAGTTTCAATTTCAACGCCGGACCGTCAGCCATTTTGGATTTGAGTCCGTTCCAAGAAGACGGCTTGGAAGACTCGTTTCAACGCTATTAAAGTGAAACTGATTTGGTCAAATGTTTCTAGATAAGTTTGATGACCGAGTTTGTGACTAAACGTGGGACATCACTCGAAAAGTCAGATGCGGGCAATTATCAAGGCCACTAGTCAAGTACCACATTATCTCCGCTTTACAACGTTTCGCTTACATCAAAGACGGTTCGTTGCCGGCATTGTAAAGTTCGTTGTCTTATGATAAAAACTACCCAATTAATAATACCTTACAACGTACAGCATAAAATGGCCTCCTTTAGGGCATAAATGATAGCCAAGCTTCTTACTATAAAGATGGGCTGAAATTAAAATATTGCACATGTTTCTTAGACATTTAAGAGTTGTGGAAATATAGCGGTGAATATAGCCTAAGGGCTGATGAATCAAACTCAGTAAGATGGTCGCTTGAGATCAAAGCTGAATCCGTTATGACGGCGGGCATGCTTGTTCGGCATTATTATCAAGATTGGATGATAAAAATCCCTCCAAAGTTCGTCTGTTAAGTATAAAATCGCCTTTAATTTGACTAAAGAAACGTTTTCCCCACCGAACTCATAACCATCTTGAAGATTAACGTTCTTAAAAACTATTTTTGCTAGCCTTAGGGATGGAGGTACATAAACATAACCAAACATGTCAAGTGGTCTCTTCCGCCTGATAGCGGTGTATTTGCATATAAAGGGTACCGCTGTGTTATTTAAAGCTCACACAGGAAGGTAGTCTAGAGGTCCTTGCAAATTAAAGGTCGTAAATTTGAAAGAGTATCAACTGTGTCCCGTACCCTAAAAGTGGAATGGACAGTAAAGAACAGTAAAAAGAGATTCCTTTTGTAAATGGATCGATTCTCTTAAATCTTCTGTGAAAAAGCACGTTTTCTAATTTGAAAATGTATCAATATTACTTTAGCTGGGTCAACTATTAGGAAGAGCCCGGCCAATGAAAAATATTGTACTATGTCAAGATCAATTTAAAAAGCAAATATGTAGAATGTTAAGTACTCACCTGCTAGCACGATCATGCTGTAAAGGTTTAAGCTCTTTCGAACGATAAACTTTGAAACAAAACCAAAATAAGGGGAAGAACTCTGATGAACGCTCTTTGAGTAGAACTGAGTAATAATAAAGTAATGTATAATAATGAAGAATTTCCAAAACATTCCGAGCTTTATCCCGAATGTTTTTTGTAACCTGTGAGGTGCGTTAACGTACCCGAAAACTTTTTGCACTGCACGGACCTATTACCAGTTTTTCTGCAGTAAATTTGTCCAAACTCACGACTTCGGTTTACTTTGATTCGAGGGAAAAAACTCTGTTCTTCCGAAACAGCGTTCAATAAGGCCGTCGTCCCCTGCTAACCCTAAATTATTTTGTAGCTAATGTAAATTATTACTGACTGCAGCTTTAGCGCCGAAACCAACTGACTTTAAACATTATTCAAGACAACCCTATACTGTATGAGGTATACTTTTCTATATTTCAAACAGTTCTATGCAGATTCATGGGGCTTGATGACGTTTATACCCGGCTGACGCTCTATTGAACAGACTTCTATCCATGCATATTGACATCTCGAGTGTTTTACTATTAAACTGTAGAATACTGACCTGGGGTAGTAGAAGTTAAGTAGCTTGAAACAGATTTAGAAAATCCACTGCTATTAACAAATCGTAAGACCTCGTGGCGAAATCAATTAACATGCCTCAACTTGTAACACTATATAATGCAACAGAGTCCTGGGCTCTACAGTACCCGTGTCACCATGAGAACAGGTGAAAAGTGAAACTGAAAAAAAAAAGAAAGAAAACATGATCTGACGATCGAGTCAGTCGATTTTTTTTTTAAACTTCTGAAGTTCATTAATTGGTTAGAAATAGCAACAACAAACAATAGAGTCGTTACGATACAGTACGAGCAATAACAGCATTGACGAAAATTTCTTTCACCTTTAACGGGCGACTGACCGTGCACACAGATATTGACACTTCGTACTACGATTCTCCTGTTCAGTTTATTAAATACCGTGTTCCATCGTCATAACGAAACGCATGGTAAGACTTATATTTACAAAAGAAATTCATTAAACGCTGCCTATGGTAAAATGTATTCACAATATCTGGCTAAAACGTAACAGATAGGCCGCTGGTTTTCCCTAAATTGGCCTATTTCTACGCTTTTATTTGTTTACCAGCCAATCAAAATAAATTGTATTACTATCTACTCTCACCGCCAACAGATGCAAAGCCAACACCAAATTTTGTTGCCTACGTTGTCTTGGCCAATCAGATTACACCTGTTTTCTGATTGGCTGCTGTAGATGGCTTTGTGATTGGCTTTATAACTTATCACGTGAACCAAACGCCATTGGATAAACTACTACTTGTAAATAACCTAATGAACCTGTTTTTCAGCTCTAACACGGCGAAATGTAAGAAACAGTCTAACACAAGTACTCGATCAACAGTTTAGACCATGCCGTAATAATATCAGGGGACTTAAAGTTTGAGTAAGAGTGCGACTTCTCAATTCTAGTTTGCAGACTTCACATTTTCACGTCACATACCCATCTCATCCCATGAGCGACCCTCTCAACTTGAAACTAACACGAGGAGCAAGGGCTCTGGAAAGATCACTGATTTGAAATTTGTAAATCGTTCTTGTACTGTTAGTCCAATCTAAAGATCCTAATGACTGACCAACTCAACAAGATCTTAAGGAGAGTGAACGGATCTACACAGGTTAACAAGTTACTGTAACATAACCTACAGCTAACAAAAGATAAACACGGTAATGCAGTTGAACCTCCTCAATACGGTCACAAAAGGAGCTCTCCTGAGTGTCAGTATTGTGGAGGTAGAAATTATATGTGAGATGTAGTTACTCTGGAAGAAAGTGTGACCTGGCTGCAATATAAAAGTGTCCATTGGGTGAGGCTGGCTGTAAGAAGAGGTTCGACTGTAGGCTGATTTGCCTTCACCCATGATTAAGGGTATCATCAAGCTTAAACTGGTAGCGGTGCCAAGTTGTCATTTAGTTTCTTCCCTAAGTGTAGAAAGCAATTGACACTTACATAAGTTGATGGAGTAAGACTACATAACACAGCCGAGAAATCTAACAGTTGAAAACACCCCAGTTTTAAATCCCCACTACATATGTGTAAATCTACTTTTTACAATAATTTAAATAATAAAAAAATTGACATTCAGGAATAAAATTAAAATCTGACTCAAACTGGAACTTTCCATGACATTATGTCACTTTGCCTATTTTTGCCAAATGATGCTTCCCATTATGGAAAAAATAAATGTTTGCACAGTCACGCAAAAGCTCTTGATAAAAGCTGTTGAATGAATCGTAAGATAAAAACAAGAAGCATATTATCAATTAATTACTCAATAAAATATCCGCAGAGACATTTGTACTCTGAGGTAAAGAATCTTGCTTTTCCAGCCGCAGGCATAATGTGTAATAAAGTCAGCAACTGTTTATTCAAACACACTCCGTTGAGCTGATTCATCAGTCCATTCCTTGTGACATTTTATTCAAACTGTTTAAAACTCTGTGCTGCGCTGTATCTCTCACAGCTCTAAAGGATTTGTCAGCAATGGTGTTCTCTCCCCTCCATTGGCATTTCCGTTTTCATTTTCATGCCTGCAGTTACGCTGACATATGGGGCATGTTTCTTTAATTTCCATCCACTTCATAATACATCTGAAAAATTGTAACAACCGTGTGTAGTAAATTAATATATTTGTTCAGTAGTTTCAATCTGTTTATGTCAGTGGTGATTTTGGTTAATTCCCATTCCCACCTTAAGACATGTACAAGTTCACAAATAGATCATATTGATTTCATATTCCAGTATTGAATAGACAGTTTACATGTTTCTATTCTTGTTGCGACTCTATTCAGACTGCTATTGATTCATTTTGGGAGGTTACAATTGAGCAATTTGCCAAATGCAGATCATTGCATGGGAGTATGTGCAAACAGAACAATAATATTTATTTATTTGTAACCTCCCAAATGAATCATCAAATGATTTGAATTGGGAGGCGACAAGCTAGGATGTAAATACATTATTCAAAACTACCACATTATCACTCCCCGGTTTAGACTCAGTTGAGAGCTATAGTTCCACTCCAAAACCGAAAATACAAAAATGGTCAGTTGGTTTCATGGACGGAGCAGGGTAGGAGGACAATGTCTGCTATAGTGCTATTGTTTTAAGAAACTGGACAGGGTTTCTGATTGGATTTCACACCTAACATTTGTTTTAAAAAGCAAGGTTTCTGAAATCCCAGGTTTTGCAGGAGCATCTTCTCCAATTTTCCTTGTTATTCATTGACGCCTCTACACTTACATGGAGCCCCTTGCAGAAATCAATGTGAATATGATATTAACCAGCTGCACAGAGTGATCAAGAACCTTTATTGACTCACTTGTGATGATAAGCATGTCCACATCTACAAATGCTGATTTCCTCCTTGTTTTGAAAATCATCCAAGCATATTGCACATGTCTAAGAAACAAAATACAATATCGATG